CAGGAAGATCAGGAGTTCAAGGCCAGCCTTAGCTATGCAGCAAGTTGGAGGCCAGTCCAACTTGGAAGCTAAGAATGTGCTTTCTCTTGGTCCTGGCTCTGACCTTGCAGCACTGTGGTCTGCTGCGGTGTGCTTCAGCTGAACCAGGAGCCCTCACTGCCCCCAACCCCAGTCCAATGTCAAAGACCAGGTATAAGATCCCAGAAAACCACTTCTGTACAGCTATCTATGCAACACGTCCCAGTGAAGTCCATCTGGCTCCTTTCTTTAGCACCTCAGCATGCTGTGTTTGTATCAAGTAAGGCAGCGGCCCCTGAGTTCTCTCTGCAGCAGACACTGGCCTCAGAATGTTGCAACACAATGCCCACAAGCTCTTCACAGCCTAGTTTGAGGGAGTAGCTACTTCATGGGTTAAAAAAGATCACAAAAAAGTAAGTGCAAGGTTAGTAGAGCTGGGACACATAGTGGGGAGGGCAAAGTTTTTGGGATGAGGAAGGTGAGCCTCAAGGTAGGTGCTGCCTGTGCCTACTTCCACGTGTGCATCCCAAACTTATGCAAACCTATTAGGTAGAAGACCGAGAACCGTATTAACTTTAAACTTAGGAGGATGCATTTTCTGGGGGTACAAAAAATAGCTCTAGGATTTAATTGGATACTCAAGAGGATATAGGCCATAAAAAATATCACTATTGCCATCCTCCATGCCTCCCAGGTGGCCATGATATGATCCTTTTTCTTGTTCAGTGCATGGTACAGAACCCAGTTCTCCTGTAAGAGCTCCAGCTAGTGTTGAATCTGCAGGAGACAGGTCAGAAGGTGCAGTGCTAAGGGGTAGTGTGTTTTAGGATTAAGAGTTCTTCCAGTGATGCTACAGGACTGAGAAGGACCAAGGGAGAAATTTAAGGGCTTATTATGGGATAGAAGTGGCCTAGAAAGGGAGAAGTGAGAGAGATTTCTCCAGAGACATTCAGTAGAAAGATTCCAATTAGTTCCTGATGCCTATTCAGGCTGAGTGGAAGGCCTTTGGGTGACCATCTCATCCCTAGCCTTTTAGCAAACTGCTTTGGCCCTTTTACTTTGAGCCTTACTTACTACCACATACTGGCCTCAGAAGATGACAACACCTTTCTTTTTCTGGAAGGGAGGATAAGGTAGGTTCTCATATAGTCCAGACTGGCCTCCAACTTGCTACATGGCTAAGGCTGGCCTTGAACTCCTGATCTTCCTGCTTCCACTTCCCAAGTGTTGAAATTATGGTTGTGTGCCACCACACACAGGTATGATGTCTTTTAAAGGAAAAACAAACAAACAAACAAACAAACAAATATATGAACACACACACAAGTGCTTGAATGACAAGAGGCTACCCTGCCTTCCTGGTTTCTGTGTGCATGCTGGGGACTTGAACTCTGGTCTTCACACTTGCATGACAAGCACTTTATCTACTGAGCCACCTCCCCAGGCCCCTGGGATACCTTTCTCGTAGGTATCACTGTCACATTTAGGGAATGAGAAACAAACCCAAGCCTTAGCTGAACACACATTATATGAAGGGGTCCACTCGTCTCCCACACAACAATCCTAAGGGAGAAGGCAGGACACCAGTCACATACCTTCTACATAGCTCATACTCTTAGATTGCCTCCCTTGATCCTTATATTCCCAAACACGATTTCTCCCTAGTTTATAGGAGAAAATATTGATTGATTCATTTTCATTTGAACATACAGGGAAGACTTCATTCTATGCCTGGGGGCCCCAGAACAGCCTGAGACGGACTTAGGCAGACTCTTGTGAAGCATATATTTTTAGAATCAGGGGAAAGATAGCAAACTAACAGTAGACAATTTCAGACACTAGTAAATGCTATAAAGAGACTAAAACAGGGCAATCTAGTAATCCCATGGGGAAATACTAAATTACTGGGAGGTTACTATGAGACAGACTAAGAAACACAGACTGCAAAAGAACAGCCAGTACTAAGGGCCTGAGGCATAAAGACGCTTGACATGTTCAAGGGACAGAAAGGAAGTCTGTGTGACTCCAAGGGAGGGAGAGGAGATAAGAGAGTAGGCCAGGGAGGCTATGTCAGGGACTCCAGGTAACAGTGTGGACTGGCAATTTTATTTGAACATGTGTATAGGTGTTTTACCTATAAGAATAGCTGTGTACTGTGTGCACACAATGCCCACAGAAACCAGAAGACTGGGAGTTGAATACCCAAGGACAGAAGTTACATGACTGTGAGCAGCCATGTGAGTGCTGGGAATTGAACCTGCGTCTTCTTGAGGAGCTGCCAGTGCTCTTAATCACTTAACCATCTCTCCAGTCCCTTGGGAATTTTATTTAAAGTACAAGAGGTCTTGAAGCAAGAAACTGACACAATGGAATTCTGGTTATAGGGGACGAATGATCCACGGCATCTGGGATGAGAGCAGGTAAATTAGTCAGCTCGGGAGATACCACCTTGCATACAGCACCTAAACCTGTTTATATGGTATTAAATCTTCCACGTTGTCAGTATGCTCCTACACCAGACTCTCTCATCCACCAAAGTGGAGTTCCTGCTATTCCCGGAGATGGCAGCTGTACCCTCTGCAGCCACCAGGAGAGGACGGCTGCTAGTGGTTCCACAAAAACAATTGCACAGCCTGTATGCAAACATGCTTTGTGTTCGTCTGCAACACTGAACAAAGGGTGAATGTCCAGCGTGTGCCAGGCACTTGTAAAGTTGGTCTGTAGTACTGGGAACACATTATTAGAGTTGATGTTTAATTAAAAAAAAAATTATCCTGTCTGGGAAAGACAAAAGACTAGCCCTTGTTCCTCAAAGACAGGAGATCAGCAGGGTACCAGTCCCTTTACCACGTATTTTCACTCAAAACTCCATCAAGTCAAACATTCTTAAACACCTTTGAAGAGGCAGAAAAAATACAGTAAGAATACAGTCAACAGTATTTGGAGGAAGTGGGACATTGTAACTAAAAGGACGTGAGATTTGACCCTAAGGTCAGTTTCAAGCCTGGAGTGTCTCAGGGAAGTTACTCTGGAGTTACATTGTTTCCACAAAGCCTTTGCTTCCCCCACATGCCCTAAGCTACATGCAGAAATGGCAACCACTTGAGCTAAGTTAAATCAGGAAGGCATGCCCTCCTGTGACCCTCACTACCTGTATTCAGCCAATACTTCTAGAAAGGGCTAAGGTGCAACCCTACCTCCTCTAACCCTGCTTTCTGGCTTTGCACTTCTGACCCTCCAGCTTCTGAGAGCTTAGTTAACCGTGTTCACTCCCATGTCCACTTTTGCAAAGAACTGTCTCCAGATCCCCAGACTGGAACATTCTGTCCTGGACAGAGCAAAGTAGCATGGGAAAGCTATGCCAGAGAGAGACAGGTCAGCAAGTAGGGGAAAAGAGAAAAAATTAAAATGAAGCATTAGTGTGACTAGAAGAGACTCACTCCCCCATGAGGCAAGCCTCCCCCTCTCCCGGCTCCACCTTGCCCGAGAATCTGGGGACACTATAACAGGTCTGCCACAGACACTAAGTATGTATGTGCTGAAAGAGGGAGCCCAATTCTGCAGGGACCCACAGGCCCTAATAAGACAACTTCTGTCCTACACTGGCCTGACAAACCAGCTGAGGCTACCTCTCCCCTAAATTGATATCCACCTAGAACCTAAGAATGTGACCTTACTTGAAAGTCATATCCTTTCAGATGTACCAGTTAAAGTATAGTTACATCCTATTGGGTTAGCTTGGGCTCCCACGAGAAAACAGACAGACCCTCAGACAGGAGATGACACAGAGGCAGATACTTCGAGGAAGTTAAGAGCATTCAGAAAGCTGAGGCGATCGGACCATACAGTAAGGACCACTTGAACTATACAGTAAGTATACACCTAGTCTGGGCTCCATAACAAGACCCTGTCTCAAAAGCCAAAGGAAGGATCATCTTCTGTATCCTTCCAACATCCGAGAATACATTTTTGCTGCAGGATGCCCCCCAGCCTCTAGTACTTTGTCACGGTAGCTCTGCTTCCATTGGTCACACCAACTCTCCGTGAACAATCCTTCCCAGCCCAGGTACAGGAAGGAAGAAACAGCCTCCAGTCCTCTGGGTTTTCCCGGCTTCCCAGTGGCCAACAGCAGCCTCGGGAGGTGAATTGAGAGGGGATCAAGTTTCAGCCATCCCACCTTCTTCCACAGGAGGCCAACTGGCAGGGGAGTTTATGTTTTCTCCCTTAGCTTTCCAGTCTGCAACCTCTTTCAGTTAAGGTTAGTTTGTCTTTTCTTTCTCTCATTTTGAGACAAAGTGTCCCACTAGTAGTCCTGTGCTTCCTGGAGCTCACCCTGATGCTTCAGTTGGCCTTGAACTTGTGGAGATCCTTCTGCTGTCTCCACAGTGCTGGGATTACCTCCAGGCCTGACTTTTCAATTTCAGTCATTTAGTTCCTGCCTTAACAATGATTTCCCACCATCTACCTAATATTTCTTTACCTGAACTGTAACTTTACTATGTTTACATAAATTTATTTAGGCATCTGCTCTACCACCGAGCTATGTACCAGTCTAATAATTTTATTTTAAAAGCAATTGCTACATCATTATTACAATAAAAAAGTCAGCACCATGTATAGTATGCGATATTATGTGTCTTTGAATTACACACTGAAATGGATACACGGTATTTTTTTTTTAATCCATTCTTGTACCATGTAAAGTAATCTCGGGAGGAAATCCAAGGGGATACGAACTATTCTTCATTTAGTTGTCTGGTGGTCTGCACTCCTGAAAAACCGACTTCAAGTTCTTGGATCTCCAGGTCCTTTCCCTAGAGGAAGACCACACTCCCCATGAAGGTAAAGGGGCAGGCGCACAAATAGAAAGGTAACAAGAGTTCTGAGTTCCCACGCGGGACATCCTGAAGACACCTACGCGAGACCGAAAGTGACTCTAAATACCCAGTCCTTGCGAGTGACAAGGGCGGGGAGGAACTGACCTTCTCGCGCAGAGTGCAGTGTACGTCCGAGGCGACGCGCCCTTCCCACCACGGCTCATCCATCACTGCCGCAGATATGAGGCTACCGGGATCTCAGAGAGCACCCTACGAGGACACCAGGAGCTTCAGCGATCCGAGACACTTCCTCTACCCCTCCCTCAGTGACCCTGATCCTCCTCGGTCCCTGTCCCAGTCCCGGATGGGCGCCCCCTCCTGCCCTGTACGGTGGAGCTGGCTGTCGCCCGCTGTCCTGAAGAGCCAGTAGTGTCCCCCCTCTCCTCCCTCCGCCCGCCCAACCTGGGGCGATCTGGAACTGTGTGCAACAACTTGCAGAATATCCAATGTCCCCCTCTGCAAAAGTTGCAAAGTTGCCGGCTGCAGTAGCTCTCCCGGGGCTGGCTGGGTCACTGGCTCAGAGTCCCCAACTCCTCCCCCGCCGCCTAGCCTTTGTCCTGCTCGCACATCCTGCCCTCGAGCCGGGGCGAGACTCACACATCGCTGTCCCCGCGTGGGGGGCTGCGGGTGGCCGGTCCCTTCCCGCCCCGGGCACGTAGTGCCCCTCTGGTGGCCGTCCGGCCCTTGGCCTCGCGTGCTCGCGACCGCCGCCTCCGCAGCCCGTCCCGCCCGGCCACCGGCGCGCCCCTGCGTGCGCTCGGTCCCGCCGCGGCTCGCAGTTCGGGCCGCCGGGGGCCTCCCTCCCTCGCTCGGGGAATTGGGGGCCGGGCTTCGCGCATGCGCCGCCAGCGCCCCGCGCCCCGCGGGGCGGGGGGCTGGGAATGGCAGTCTTTCTTTCCCCGGCGCTGGGCTGCGCTTCCTGCCCACCCTCCTCCGTCGCCCAGGCCGAAAGCTAGGCTTCACCTTCCCTGGGACTCTGGAGGAGATCCCCAGTCACCCTGCCCCCTTGATCCTGGGGAGTGGGGGGACGCGGCGCCACCTGCGTGTGCGCCGCGCGTGTATCCAGCGGCCAGGACGCCCCCAGAAAGTTCTGACTTCCTCATGCGCTGCTCCTGCCAACCTGCAGACGCTTCCACCTGTCTTTCTTTCTTTTTGAGCCTGTCCTGCGATGAGGAGGTAGATTTTCAAACAATTCCCACAGGAGCCCCAGAAAAGCCACCCTTGGATACGCACGAGTTCCTCTTTATAAAGGGGGCTCAGTGAGTATTTTATTGTGCTCTTAAGCGTGTATCCATGCTGAGCATTGCAGGGAAACGGTCCCTATGGCAGGTTGCGGGATAGAAAGCCCTTTTAATTCACTTGTTTTCAGAAAAGCATTTTCTGGAGTCCGTGGTTGAATGGCATAACATCCCGCTGTGCTGATTTTTGTGAGCCCTTTGGTGATTCCAATAACTTGAAATCAAATTCACCAACTACCTGGGTGTTTTTGCCCACCCAGTGTCTCACTCACTCACTTAGAGCCTAGCTTCAGGTAATAGGGGGATACAAGCTACAGTGATCTGCTTGGATACATTATGATTAGATGAGAAAGGACACGGAAGAGGATTACCGCTAGGCCCGTTAGAAAGACACCAGGCAGTAAATAATTACCATATAATATATACATGTTGTTGTTTGAGACATGGTTTTTCTGTATAGTTCTGGCTGTCCTGGAACTTGATCTGCCGGACATCTTGGAAGACTAGAGTCCTGAGTGCTGGGACGAAAGGTGTGTGCCACCACCACCAAGCCCCAAGTAAAATTTTGCTGGTTAAAAAATATAGTTTAGTTTTGAAAGCCTATCATAGTGATGCATGCCTGTGATATTAGCACTCAGAAAGCTGTAGCTTAAAGGCCAGGAGTTCAAGGGCAGCCTGGGTTACACAGACGTTAGAGCTCTGTCTAGGCTCTGTGAGATTTTTTTTTTTTTAAAGCTTTGACGAACTTGCAATGAAAAGTGGCTTTAGGGGCTGGAGGGATGGCTCAGTGGTTAAGAGCACTGACTGCTCTTCCAGAGGTCCTGAGTTCAATTCCCAGCAACCACATGGTGGCTCACAACCATCTGTAATGGGATCTGATGCCCTCTTCTGATGTGTCTGAAGAGAGCAATGGTGGTGTATTCATATATATAAAATAAATAAATAAATCTTTAAAAAAAAAAAAAAGAAAAGTGGCTTTAGCACTTATGAGCTCTCATAAAAATAAAAAAAAAACCTGGGATTAAACAAATGTGATATATATGCATGCATGCGTGTATGCATATCTTTACACCAATGTGGCCTAAGACCTTCCTGCAGAAGCGGATGCCCATATTCACTAACAAATCCAAGTTTTAAAAACTGGAGCAGGTCTTTATCAAGGATGTTTTTAGTGTTTGTTAATTTTTATGCTGGCATACAAAACAATGGGTTTTGTTGTGGCATTTCGCACCTATGTGTCACACTTTCTTCTCAGTCATCACCCCTCCCCCACTGTCGAGGGTTTACTTTTAGCATAGGACTCCTAAGGTGGGTAAATATACAATGTTCTTGGGAATGCAAATGCCATCTTTCTGAAAACAACATAAATCAACAAGTTTAAAAGTTTCATTTGATCCAACTATTCCATCTCTGTGAGTTTGAGGTCCATCTCTGTGAGTTTGAGGCCAGGTTGGTATACATTGTGTGTTCTAGGCCAGCCAAGGCTTACACAACGAGATCTCATCTCAAAAAAGACAAAACTCAAACACGAGAGAGAGAGAGAGAGAGAGAGAGAGAGAGAGAGAGAGAGAGAGAG